TAAGATAACCTAAAACAATATTATATATTTTAATCACAAAACTCTTTAACTTTTCATATGTACATAATTTAAAAGCAGCTTGACATTCTCACTTACCATTCTTGTAATTTCTAAAATTCAATAATCTCTGCTGTTGTGGCTTTAATATATTTAATAAAAATAATAAAACGATATCACTAAAACTATCGAAATGTGCACTTAAAACTTAATCCGTAACTTGCACGTAGAAAATATTGCTATACACAATAATAATAATAATAATAATAATAATAACGTAATAGTAACAATAATACCAGGTATAATAGAATGCTATACGGTATTAAATATATTAAACTGATCCTTGGGTGTCGTCATATCATACCACGTGTACCCATGTATAAACGATCCGTTTCCAAATTTTATATTAAGTACGTACACGTTGACTTATGGATAATATTTATTTTTTTAATTACTGTTGTAAACGACGCGCGGTTTATATAGATACATATATGTATATATTAACATTCACTAAACATTAAGAATACGTTTATGTGTGCTACTCGAAAAACTGTTTCCATTGGCAAGTTATATTATACAAAGATTATTATATTTACAGAGCTTTATTGATAAATATTTACATTTCAATCAATCCGTTGAATAAACACGATTGTAGCAGTTCGTACACATAATATTATGTCATCGTGTATTATTAGTAGACGGTGCGATTCAAATATCGGTAATGACGGATATGGTATTGAAACGGTTCACCAAATATTCGTATACACACATTTGTTTGTGTTATTAAACATCTGAACAAAAATATACACGGAAAACTGAATAGCACAATGCAAATACGGCAATAGCGCAGTGTTTTATCATTGATTAAATAAACAATACAATATTGTGTACATAACCACTAAGTTTTTTATCCGGAAAGACTGTATTATAGGTACTATAACTACTATACCTACGTATATATTACACTTTTACTTTGGAAGTATTATTTTTTCCGTCCATGCACAGGATTAATTATTTACCAATACTCTACGAGTAGTGGGCAGTGTAGGTTCCGCGATACGTATCGATATAAACCACATTGGCTGTTTATTTCAGCACTGTATAATTATATTTCAATTACAGATAAATATCGTACATTTTACTGTCGTGCACCGGTATTACATAAATCGTGTTCATAATTAAAATAACGTTTTTTTAATGTTTCACCGCAGCGAATGTTTATTGCACTCGTAAACTGAATATAATTATTGTTTTATGAGAACGTGTATTTATTTCTCACGTGGATTTAGATTTCAATTGTAAAAAAGTAATAGCATTTATACTATTATAATATATATATACACGTTACACTCACGTTACACAGTTATGATATGAAATTATATGTACAGAGTATGTAGGAATCGCAAGGATTCGACATTTCCTAAAGTAATTTCGATATAATTATAATGATTTAATCATTTAATCATTTTAAACTCATTCCGATACAGTAAGCACGACTAGAGCGGTGAGGTGGACCGCATGTGTAGATGAAATCTATTCGTTGTGGCTCAAACGAGTGTCAAATATAGGTATTATTCAAACAGTTTGAAGACTGCAATTGAAGAAACAAGTACCTACGCATTAAAGTAAGACATTTAAATCATTACGAAATCGAATAGTTATTATATTTATTTTCATTAATTCTAACATAATAATGAATATGTACACTGGATGCTCGGTTTTTCATCCGGTTTACGATGTAAACAAAATTATAAATTTGTTTAATACATATAATAATAATAATTGTAATTAATAAGAAAATCATATTAAAACAATTAATATTCTATGTGATGAGTCGTATATTATTGTACCTGATGCCATAAAAATTTACAAAACGAATTAGGCAAAATACACTCCAAAAGTATTTAGAATAAATAATGGAATTATAATTTATAATACATACACAAATAATAATAAAAAAAATAGTAAAATGTAAAAATAATATGTAAGAAAACCAAATGTTAAAATAAAATAACCAATGGCCATTGATGCCGAAGTTATAAAAGATCAAAAAAAAAATAATAATAATACAAATGGAATACTCATCAAAAAAGTATTCTAAATATATGCTAAAATTCTTCATAAAAATGGTATTCAAAAGAATAAAAGAAAATTAAAAAAAAATATTTTTTGTTTGAAGTATTAATAAAATAATAGTAACCTAGGGAAATATTTTAAAATTACTGCTTAAGGTTAATATTTTATGTACCCGAGTACCTATTATATAACTGTGATAATTTTAGTATTTACAACATAACAATACATTTTTTTAAAAATAATTATCCATATTATAAAAATGTAATCTTATCTGAAAGCATAAAAATGAACCCTAATCATGTCAGTTATTAGATAATTTGTTATATGATTCATCAGCAATAGATAATTAAATATGTCTCGAACATAACTATTATTATTACTCATTAGTCATTTTAATAATTGTTTTGGTGTTGGTTTTACTAAACAATGTCTTAATTTCTTTTTTTTCAATCAAAATTCAACAAATCATGTCCATACACAATACATTTGGTCAGTGTAATCTATGATAATACTTTCCAACAGGTTACTATACAAAAGTTTGGTCAGTCCTGGTTCAAAAATTAAAAGTAAAATTATGAATTCTATTATCTATAGTGCCTTTGGTGTAGTCGCGTGTTTAATCACCATCAACAATCAATGATTATCTTTTATTATCATGGACTACAATAGCTCGTTTATGGAAATACTCATAGGCCCAAATAAAAAAAATATATAAAACAAGTGCAAGTGCAAAACGACATTTATCCTTCACGTCATTCAATATTGATGATAGAATCAGGGTTTCCGAACGAAACGTAAAAGAACGGTTAAAGAACATTATTGTTGTTCATAAACCAAAATATAATGGAACAAAACCAATTATTTAATTTAGTTTATTGGTCATTCATATGAAATAACAATATACACTATTAAGTTTACTGACCTTTTTCACGAAAAACGTTTTAAACTTAAAAGTTCTTAAAAAAATTGACATGAGGAGCGTCATAAACTATTAATTTCCTTGAACAATTACTAGAAAAATATTATAACTTATTAAGTTCTTTTAACAATTACAAGAAAAACGTTATAATTAAAGAGCGGATTTCATTGATATTGCAACTTTTTATTGATACCCAGTAAATCAAATCTGATCAAATATGTTTACGAATCAGATTAATTACAGTCTTCCTATTTAATTTAATAATGCAATTTTTTGCAATTTTCAACGATTTTACAATTTTTAGCAATTTTTGCAATTTTTATACACTTCACTTGATAAAATATACAAATTATTATTTCCAAAGTGATTTTACAAAAAAAAATATAACTACGACGTAAATTTTTACATGTTGTTAAATGTAGTTTAGGATTTTTAAAATTATATTCATCTGAGTTATCCAAAAAACTCACAAGTTTAGAAAAATCAAATAGTCAATTACTTAATAGTTTAAACATATTTAGTACAAATACTAAATAAAGAAATAAATACTAAACAAATACTAACTAAATAAAAATATTTAGTATAAATATTTCTATAAATATTCCCGGTCCCAATGGAAAAATAGTTAAAGATAAATTAAAATATGTCTTAGAAAAAAATGTAGGATATAAAACTATTAAGACTTACTCTGAGATTATGACAGAAAATCAAAATGTTTATTTAGATACTCGTATAACACCCAATTTTTTAAACTATTTTAAATATGCATCAATAACAAGTGTCGACGTTGAACGTACTTTTTCATTATATAAACATATTTTAAGTAACAGATGATACAATTTTCAAGAACACAATTTAGAGATGTATATAATTATAAATTTTAATTCAGAAAAATAATATATTTTGTAAATATTATATTAATGTCTATAATATTATTTAAGTAAGTAATTAATGATTATATATTTAATATGATTTCACTATGTAATTTTAATGTATTTCATTGCAATTTTAACATATTTATTCTGAAATTTTTGATACATTTGCATTGCAATTTTGACATCTTTTTAGTGCAATTTTAAAATATTTTTAATGCAATTATATCCGGTCTTTAGTAATAACATATTTTGTTTTGTCTAAAAATAATAATAAATACACAGCTTGCATGCGCGATAATGCCGATAACATTGTACATATTACGATTATGAATACATTACTCGTAATTGATGGTGGTCGACAAAATTATTTGTCACTTTTCACTTGTCGAATATCGATACTAATAATACAAATGTACGATTACGATTTACGATTCCAACGAACAACATATAATATTATTTCATTTTATATAAAATTTTACCAAAAAAATTCTAAGTGGCTCCGCCAAAAAGAAATTAAAAGAAAAAAAAAGAAGAAGAAATTAAAAAGTTAAGTGGAAATTTAAATAAATATGTTGTTAAAATGAATACAAAAACATCTACATCACTTATTACTGATAATTCAAAAATTAAGTAGTTCAAACTAATTTATAATAAAATATATTATTGTCTAAAAAAAAAAACGAAATAATATAACAACTCTTATTGTATATTTTTAAATAATACTCATTACTCAAGTAAAAATATGTAATATGTATATATATTATTTTATTTCTTAGTCAATTCACGAAATTTAAATTCAGAAAATCTTATTAATCAGGTTAAATCAAAGGAACAACTAATGAAGAATTTACGACTCAATCTATGGTAAGTTTATTTGAAAATGAACTTGAAACACATGATCAAAATCTAATCGATAATAATTTAAATACTATTAATAACGATATAAAACAAATCAATTTTGAAAATTTCATTGACGATATTGCTTTATGGCCCTTATCCATTACGGACAATTTTCGGGAATACTTCACACTTCATCCTCCAAATCAAAATATTCAAGCTATAGACGAGTCCAAGTAATCGATAAGAGGCGTTTCTCGTAAATTAAAAAAACAATTTTTATATAACAAAAAAGAATGGTGTCTCAGTTTCAAGAACTTGGTTAATATATTCTCCCTCGAGTGTCTGCGTATTCTGTTATATTTGTAAATTATATGCTAAAATTTCAAAACATTTACTTTTCAAGGAAGGCATAGTGATTGGCATCATATTACTGAACGGCTTATTGAACATAAGAATTCAACTACTCATAGGTATGCAATATGTGATTATTCCAAACGTTCTGTAGAATTAAAACGAATTGATTGCCAACTAGTAAAAGAATATAAAACAGAAGTTCAATATTGGAGAAATATTTTAAAACGTACTGTAGCTGTAATTCAGTTTATAAGCCAAAGAGGTTTAACTTTTTTTGGAGATAGTGAAATATTAAATAATTCCCATAATGGTAACTTTTTAGGTATTATAGAATTATTAGCAAAACTTGACCCATTCCTCAAGGAACATTTGAATAATTATGGAAACAAAAGTAGTGGGAAATCTAATTATATTTTATCTTACACAATTCGTAAGCTTATATCACTGATGGCAGATAAAGTTTTAAATGTAATTGTAGAAGAAATAAAAAATGCTAAATATTTTGGCCTTTTTGTAGACTCAACGCCAGATGTGACTCGTATAAACCAATTAGCTATAGTTTTACGTTATGTAAAATCTGATGGCCGAGCCATTGAACGTTTTATAAAATTTCTAGATATTTATAGTCATACTGCTGAATACTTAACATCAACTGTTATTGAAACAATAAAACAATTAAGTTTAAATATTGAGAATTTTGTTGGCCAGCCATACGATAATGCCAGTAATATGGTTGGAAAGTATACGGGATTACAAGCGCGAATAAAAAAGATAGCTCCAGATGCTGAATATTTACCGTGAACAGCACATTCATTAAATTTAGTAGGTGTTCGAGCTGTTGAAAGTTGTAATAATGCAATTAAATACTTCAGTATTATTCAAACTTTATATAATTTTTTTTCTATATCACCTCATCGTTGGGATAGATTAAATCAAAGTTTAAAATCAAAGGGAATGCTTTCTTTGAAATCATCATCACAGACACGTTGGTCAGCGAATGCTAATGCTACTAAGACCTTGACCCTTGGCTAGTCTGAAATTACTAAAATTATTTTTAAAATTTCTATTGATATGAATGAAAATACAAATACTCGTAATGAAGCAAAGCATATTTTAAATCAACTAAAAACAAGAGAAATGGCGATTATGATTGTTACTTGGAATTGTATATTACAGCGAATAAATTTAACTTCATAAACTATACAAATTTCAACAACAAATATATCAATAATAATACCATTATACAATTCTCTATTTGATTTTATACAAAATGTCCGAGAAAATTTTGAAATATACGAAAATGAATCCTATAAAAGAATAAAAAAAAATGTCGATTTTGAATGTCAAAAAGAGCGACAACAAAGTTTAAGACAAAATTTCATTACTGATACACATTATGTAATTTGCGATACATTATTGGCAGAAATATAAAAAAGAAGAGAAGATAATGTTAATGTGAAAAAAAGATTTGGATTTTCATTTAAAGAAAACTTAACCAGAAATGAAATTATGACTAAAATGAAAGCATTAATATTTTTATATAAAAATGAACTTGATATTAACGTTGAAAGCTTCGTAGATGAATTTATTAAATTTTAAATTTTTATTTCATCTACCAACAATAGCACAACAATAACGCTAACCGATCAATTAAAGTTTATAAGAAATATGCAAATAGCACATACGTTTCCAAATGTAGAAACATGTTTGCATATATTTTTAACAATGCCAATAACTATTTGTTCAAGTGAAAGATCATTTTCATTTCTGAAAAGAATAAAAAATAAATTAAGGTCATCAATGAGTCAAGAAAAATTGGATACCTTAGGAATACTTTCAATAGAAAGCGATGTCACGGCAAGTATTGATTTTGATGAAATTATAGATGTATTTTCCAAACAAAAGACCAGAAAAAAAAAATGTTCAATAACCTAACATAACCATTGTTAAATACTGATATTAGGTTAAAACTCGATAAGTATGATTGTATATTAATTATTAAAAAAAAATCTCAAGAAAAGTATTTGATTAAAGTTGATTAAAGTTTGATTAAAGTCTATGATAGGACGTAATTTTAACATTTTCCCAGGGCGTAAAAATACCTAGTTCCACCTCTGGTTATACATATACCACTATTTAAATTTAAATTTCATAGATTAATCATCGATGTAGCAAAGATTTTAAACTTACATAATTATTACCTACTTATTAGTTACCAGGTTTGGTTTATAAATTACACAAATTCAAATACTCAGTAGAAATTCAATAATTTTATAAGGAAAATTATATTTTTGTAAGGTGCCCATATTCATAAAGTCAACTGCCCTTTTGATTTTTCTTACTACCCAATTTAGGTCGTACTGCATGACAAATAATAATTTATATATAAATAAATAAATAGTTTATATAAATACATAAATAAATAAAAGCTTAGTCTGGAGTATTATTATATTTGTAAGGTGCGATTGGTTTCGAATTAAAAATGAATCGTTGGGTATAAAATAGTAACTGAATATGAAAAAACAAAGAAAGAAATACATTAAAAAAATTTAAATTTTAAATTTTACATAGACATAATTTATTTTAATATGATAGATTATTTAAAATGAGTTCTTATTAGACATAGATATGTTAAGAAATATAAATAATAATAGTTACTATTATTTATTATTATCTACAATTTATTGATATAAGATATTATTTTTAAAATCGATTTGTACACTATTATAATTATTTTTATTTTTCCGTTATGTATGTATAACTCTTCTAAAACTGAAATAATGTAAAAATCGTATAGGTATTTAATATTTCTAAATCCATATTAACATCAAAATGTATATTGTAGTTATTTTCTATAAAATGTTGAGCAAAATTTGAATTAGGGGCAGTCATTTTTTAATTTTATTTTAAAATTTATATTTGTCTTGCCTATATAAAATATATTACAAATATTTTTAAGTTTATATATACAAGCATTTTGTAAAAAAATAGAGGATTTTTGTAAAGTTTTTAGTTCTATTATTTGTATGTTTGATTAAATTATTATTAATTTTAAAAGCCATTTTTACATTATCATTATTATTATTTAGAATTTTAGCAAATTTGTTAAATATATTATTGTGATACTTCATGCTACAATATTTAACAATATTATTTTGTGAGTTGTATTTCGTTTTTTATAATAAGGAATTTTTTTAATAATATTTAAATTTAAATTATTTTTATGGGCTAAGGTACTCAATACTATAGATAATATTGATTTCATGTTGATAATTAAGTTTAATTAATGATATACGTTTAATATATAAACAATACATTATAATTAGGGCTCAGAAGTTGATACATTTTTTAGACGATGCTCTCTTAGCCACAAATGTGTTTCATTAATATGTGAATCCGAATAATTTTTATTTTGCATTTTTTTGCATTATTTGGTGTCTATTACTTTTTAAGTCATTTTTTGACCTTTTTAAGTCATTTTCCCACATTTTTGGTCTTTTTTACTGATTTCACACAAAATTCGAAATACTGAAAAATAAAACATTGGTTAGTGCTTGTCTGCGTCTCCCAATCATTTCAGTGGACGTGGAGAGAAGTTTTTCCAAATATAAATATTTTTAAGCAGATAATCGTCTTTCATTTACTTCTGAACATCAAATAAACTTTAATCATACAATGCAATGATTTTGATTTTTGAGTAATTTGTAAGCTTTAATAAATTTATAAAACAGATATTTGTAATTTTTTTATTTCATTTTTAAGGTCATTTGTTATCATTTTTAGATCATATTTTGAGTAATTAGTAATTCTTGATAACATTGTATAGTAAAATGGAGTAAAATATTTAAAAATATGTATTCTTATTAATTTTAAAGAAATATTTGTAATTTTTTAAGTCTTTTTTAAGGACTGTTTATGTCATATTTGCATACATTTTTTAGGTCATTTTTTAATGTTTTTAAGATCATCAACTTCCGACACAATTATAATCAATGGTTCTGTTTAGTATTGAAATTTTTTTTCTGAAATGACACTGATTGTAAATACTAATATTTTTAAAAGCAATACTAGATTTTTCGTTTTTGCAACATCTCTGAATTTTTAATAGTCATCGCTCGTTCCTATATAATATTGTATCATAAATTAAATACCTTTTTATTTACTAATATTCTGACAACACCATTAAACATTTCTTCGGCATTGTATTTTGATAATTTGTTAGATAGGAAGAGCAGAAATATTACATACCTGCATTTAGAATGTTTCATTCATACAGCAACTGTTTTTTCTTAGCTTAAAACTAAAAAATTAATACTTATACCAAGAGAATCTAAGATCTACTAGTAAGATTAATATAAAATCTAAAATATACTTTTAACCAAAATTAATTCAACTAGAAGTAATGAATTTTGTCGCACAAAACAATCATGTTACTTATTTATACTACTTAAAAGCGATACTTATTAGAGTTCAATTTTATCTTTGGAATACTTGTCTAATCAGTCAAATATTCTAAATAACTTTGTATTAACAATAAACACATACAAAGTAATACAAATAAATCTTATCATTTTGAAGGCAAATAATTTTTAGGTAGTACTAAATATAAAAACAGAATTCATAAACTAAATAAGTACTTACCAAGAAATATGATGAATATAAACTTATAAAGGTTAAAAAATATTTTTTTGATATACAATCAAACAAAAAATAATAGCAGGTTGAATTTTATTTTTGATAAAATATCCCATAATAATGATTAATATTTAAGGCTAGGTAATACTAATAATTTTATATAATTATAATTTTAGACATTATTTACACATAAAACAATAATAATAATAATTAGATAATAATAATTAGGTCAATTGTCATTAAGATTGCAAAAAGATGTCTTTTTTTTAACATAATACATATTAAAATTTTGGAATATATATGTTAACAAATTTGTAAATGAATCATTTTTTAAGGAACTAAAAAATATAAATAAAATTAATAATAATAGTTATAATAATCAATTGAAATATTACAAGTTTAAAAAAGGTAAAAAAAAATATTGTTTGTTCAATTCAGCTAAACATATTCTATTATAGTACACACATGAATAAAAAAAATTAGATAACAATTCTTTGATGTATAACTAGTATAAAAACTTGTAATGAGAACAAAATTATTATATATACAGTTTTTTTTATTTATTATTATTATTATTATTTAATTATAAGTTGAACCTCTCGAAATCGCTCTGAAAATATGAACACTTGGTTGCTTTCACATAAATTCGTAAAAGTAGTTTAGAACACCTTTGGGATTTTTTTTATTTTTTTGTACTTTTACTAAGTTAGTGTTTGTATTGTAAGTCATAAAAAAAAATATACAAAATGACCAATGACATAAAAAAGTAATAATAATAATAATAATAATAATAATAATAATGAAATTGGTGAAAAATATAAATTTTACAATAAATATGATGGTAAAATCAGTAGATTAAAAATATATGATGTGATGTAAATAGGAAGTGAAATATGAGTGGGCCGGGAGGGATTAATGTATTTTTAATTATTACAAACTGTGATTGTGATTATAAAACTTTAATTTGAGTTTCAATTACTGACAAAACTTTAAATTTGTTATAAAGATCATTAAAAAATATTCAATTTACTAAATATTTCTTATATGATATTAATAATAAGATTGTAATTATCATGGAAAGTTATGAACTATTATTATTACATCATTGATTTTGAAATATTTTTTTAATTATTTGATTAATACTGAATGTAGAAAAAAAATATTTTAATTACATAATTTTAATACTTAATTGTATTTAAATAAATATTAAAAACTGATATATAATTGCAATCAGATCATGTGAATATTGCTCTTGATATTGGACAAAGAACTGTGCAATTATAAATTTAACAATTAATTAACAAATTTTACTAATATATGATTTATTCTGTGTAGGTAATAAATGCACCTGTTGTAATAAAAAATAAAATAATATACTAAGATTATAAAAAAATTCATCTTCTGTTAATTATATATAATACACTAGTTCTCAGTTTCATAAAATATCAAAACAATCACAGTTTAAAAATATTCCACAATGAAAGGCACAATTAACTGAACCAGGAACAATCCAACAACAAATTTAATTTTCTTAAACAACAGTTTGAGCTATGTTTATGTTTATACATATAATGAGGATTTAAATTATTTATTGGAGTATAAAAATAGAAATTAAACATTAATTTAAAATGATAGGGAAAAGGGAAAACACAAATTAGATAAATTATTTTGGCAAATGAAAAAATGTAACCTAAGTAGTTCAAAATAAAATACACAATAAAATAATAATATCTAATGTTTTTCAATACAATTAATAGATTATCTAAGACTAAGTAGTTTAAAAACAAGTTATTCATTAAATCTTCAAGTAAAAAAAAAAAAGAAAAAAGAGAAGTTATAAATATTTATGACTTACCAAAAGTAATGATGGTCAAAGATGTATCTAACAGTGTTAATGATAAATATTGTGCATATGATGTTGTTGATGTCTGTGTGCGTGATAAACCGCTGCTGCGTGTTGCATGTAAATAGCGGCTGCTTGGGGATTAGCGCCGCGTAGAGCGATGGCCTGTTGCATAGGCCACTCCGAGAGGTGGGCGTGATCTCAGTAACCCGATGCTTCTTTATATTCAGACCCTTCCATTGTGAAGAAGTCTTCCAATTTCCACTGGAGAGTTTCAAATGTTGGCCTCTTCATGGGGTCTTTATGCCAGCATTCTAACATTATATCATATAATGCAGTTGGACAATTAGGTGGCATTGGCATTCGATAACCATGCTCAACTTGATGAAGTACCTCAGCATTGGTCATACCTAAAATTAATTAGTGATTACAATTTATTATAATACATATACATATCAATTATACAATTTTACTTTTTTATAACAAAATATTATTAAAAATGTCTACATAATACACTTTTATGAATATAGTAATACATTATAATTATTTATATGTATTATTTTATTAAAAAATTAATTACATCAAATATTTACACTTTTTCCTAGTATTGTATAAAAAAATTAAATTTTTTAAAACTTTTTTAAAAAAGACTATAGTTTATATAACAGAAATATAATATATAATAATTGTAGGTATAGTCAATGTACTAACTATGAATGGTTACTGAATAAAACCTTTAGTCTTTTAATACTAAATAAAACTTTATATTTACCTGGATAAGGTATACGTCCATAGGTAACCAGCTCAGTGAGTAAAATTCCAAATGACCATACATCAGATTTTATAGAAAATTTGCTGTAATTAGCAGCTTCAGGTGCAGTCCATTTAATTGGAAATCTAGCACCAACTCTCGCTTCATACTCATCCTCCTAAAAGAAATATCATTAATATTCTATTCATTAATATATTATTTTTGTAACTTTAACCTTTATAAGACGAGCAAGACCAAAATCTGCTATTTTAACAACGTTACTCTCTCCAACAAGAACATTTCTAGCAGCAAGATCACGATGAATGTAGTTTTGAGATTCAAGATATGCCATGCCAGAAGCTATTTGAGCTGCCATATCAATCAACTGTTGAAGCTTCAAACCTCTTCCCTTACCTATATATAAGTTGATTAATTTATAAATATTATATATATACAGTGGCGTATCCAGAATTTTTTTTAGGGGGGGGGGGGGCAAACACTGTCTAAAATTTTACCTTATACACTACCTACTACCAAAAAGATAAAAAAAAATTAACCAAATATTTAATGTTTTTAATGAAAATAATTTATTTATATTTTCAGTCAGTTATTAAGTTAATATATATGTACATAATAATAGTAATTTAATAATAAAAACGGGTTAGTCCAAACAAATATATTAGTGTATAAAAACAATTGTAGATTGTATAAAATTATTTTGACCAATCAACGAGTAGCAATTTTATCAAAACGTGATAATGGTAATAATGATTACTGGTAAAACCGCAAAATATTCATTGGTATAAGCATATTATTGTAGTATGCGTTCATGTATACGAATAAATATAAATCTTTAAAATAAAATCTAGTAAATATAGCCAACGAGGGGGGGCCATGGCCCTTGTGGCCCCCCCCTGGATATGCCATTGTATATATATATATATATATTAAATATAAACAATTTTAATACATGTAGGTAAATATAATTTCAAATAAAAATAATTTTCAATGTAATTTTACCTTGTAAAAAGTCTAAAAGACTTCCATTTTTCATAAGTTCAGTAATAATATAAATAGGTTCTTCCATAGTGCAAACAGCATATAACTGGATTAATTTGGTATGTCTTAGTTTCTTCATAATTTGTGCTTCAGCTAAAAAGTCTTTTGGATCCATTGTACCTTAAAAGCAAAATATATTTTGTATAAATTAATTGTATCAATTAATACTTTTATAAATTATGGATATAACTTACCAGTTTTCAAGGTTTTAATAGCAACAGGTGTTGTATTATTCCATAAACCTTCCCAAACTTCACCAAATTGACCATGTCCTAACTTACGAACAAACTTTAATGATGATCTATCAATTTCCCATTGATCTCTTGTGCTATGAGATAAACCACCAGTAACTGGTTTTTCAACCTATCATATAAATTAAAAATATTTTTTATAAATTTCAAAAATTAAACTAAATCCTTTAACTTATCAATATTAAATAAATTACGAATACCTATAGAAAAAAATTAATTAATTGAAATATAGTAGAACCTCATTAATCCGGACAGCCGTTTATAAATACCTAAATTACGCTAGTTTATCTAAGCTATCTAAATATTGCCATTAAATACGTAGAAGATAATAACGATGAAAACATATCTGCGTATTACGAGCATCTAAGGCACCTTCGTGAGTTAATCATTAAAGAAATCACTGAGAAAAGAAGACAACCCCAAAGATTAGCAGTTTTTTAAACCAGTAATTTATGCTTAAGCGTGTCAAGTGTGAATAATGCAGGTAAACCTTAATATGTACTGTATTATGTACGTAATGATTAGAGCCCCGAATTGTATGCATTTGTATATTTTTATATATTAAACAAAAATTAGCTAGGTAAGACAGAAATTTGAATTTTAATCTAATGTGTTGATACGCGAAATTAAATTTGGCATATTTTTGCATATTTGGAACATTTCAAATTATTATGCATATTTTAGCATTTTTCTGAAATATAATGCATACATAAAAAAAAATATTACGAAGTTGGTTAATAATATTATTATTTATTACTTAGCGCATGTCCATCATAATTCCGTGAGTCGTGCAGTTATAAAATTTGATTTTTGTGTTATAAGATAAAGTTTACTAAAAGTACCAATACGATTGTAACTCTCTGGGTAACTTTAAAAATATTATAAAAATCCACTTGATTTGTTTGATTTGATTGATTATCGTTTGCAACTTTTTGTTAAGATGAGTGAGTGTTCAAAATATAATTTAATTTCAATACAACATAACAGTTCTATACAGTTTAATACAATATATAAAATACAGTTGATATATTTTAAAGCATATTTTTTGATGAATATTAATTATTTAATGAATTGTATATATTTTAAAATTAAATAAATTTAATAAATAATAAACATGCATTTTTGTTTGCATATTTTCACATATTTTTGCATATTTTGAGTGCATATTTGAATGATAACCATCGTATAAATGCATGCATATTTTGTACATTTTTAGTCCATATAATTCCAGGTCCTAATAATGATTATAATACAATTATGTACTATTTTCTAGGTTTCATATTGTTAGACATACATGTATGTATTAGATTAAAACTTGTATAATAAAATATACAATACATTTTTTTTAAATTATAAATTTACGATTTTTGATTATTTTGTTTAATCTAGACTTTCATTCATTTGAACTATCAAGAGCCTCAATTAGTCCAGGTTAATGAGGTTCTACTATATACATTTTTGTTATTAAATAGGGTATCAGCAACTGAGGCCATTAGCTTCTTTAATAGTTTTTGGTACAATAAGTTTTTAGTAGGGTGATATGTAACACATGGGGTAGATGAAGTTCTCCTTTTGAACTGTCATCTTACCCAGAAAGTAAATTCGCCAGTGACCAAATTTAAACTGGAAACTGTATGTTAAAATTACAACATCCCCCACAAGTATTTTACTAAGCAAAATTATATATTATTACCTGAACACAAGGTTTACGTAAGTTAACACATAAACCATCTGCATCTTTACTATAGTATTCGACTAACTCCTGTAGAGTCCTAAATGTTGTACGTCGAGCAATAAAAAAGCCACCTTCATCTAGTTGTCTGATTCGGTAATGTTTAACAGTATCACCATCGCGAACTAAAATACATAATAATTTGTTATTCTACAGTATTAATTAATAATAAACAATAGATATTTATTAATATCATGATAAAAACATATTATAATGATTCAAAATATACATATGAACATACATAATTCAATGTATTATCTATAATTAAATTGTATTAAATATACAATCCTGTAAAAACTTAGCTAAAAAATGAAACTTTGAATTAATAAAACATTTAAATTTAAATCAATAATACATTTTAAAGTGTCAACTAATAATCCTATGATATGAAATAATTATGTATTATTTAACCATAAATAACCATTAATAGTTTTTATAACTTATTTTGTAATTTTTTTCATAAAACTTAAATAGCTATTTAAATTGTATTAATTTAAGGATATGAATTTTTAACACTATTAAAATCATCAACATTCAAAATTATTTTATTTAACATATACTAAGACTTCTCTAATAATTATTTATTGATTTATACCTAATTCAAATTGTCGTTATGCCAATTTAACTTACTTTTATACCAAGTTTTTTAATTTTACAGAAATTATTTATTGTTATTAAGGTTATTAAAAAACATAATATTAATAAGAAAAATAAAAATCAATATTAGTAAATATTATAACTACCAGTTGATTAACACTAAAATATATTTAATTAACTACATTATTTACATGACAAATGCATATGTATAAAACAAAAAACATTATAAAACTACTTACTACCTACTGTTTAAATAAAAATAACTTGAAAGTTCAAAAAACATTCCTAGTTTTAAAATATTTACAACTGATATCAATGTTATCCAAAATTAAACAACACAAAAGATGTTTAGAACAAAGTTAACAGTCATATTAGATAACCATTTAATACTAAAAATGTAAATGTGTTTAAAAGTATAAATAAAAAAATTAAATATTATAATACTAATGATACAGTTAAAAGAATATTTAGTGTTAAACAATTTCTTAGAACTAAAAGGATAATTGCTTTTGATAAAGTATTTGTTATTAATAATTTGAAGAATTAAAATTTTCTCAACTAAACCCAATAAAATTTATATTTCAAAAAGACAATCAGTTTAAATTGTTATTAATACCTATTAACAGGTACCAACAACTAGGATAATTATTATTCATTCAATAGTTGTGTTTATTCATTTCCATAAAGTAGTTGGTATAATAAAATACAAATAATAAAAAATGAAAATAACACTTAAGGTACTCACCAGACAAAGAATAATCATTCCGTCTACTCTCAGAATCCCTAATTAAAAATGCTCCATGATCATTCTCTGGCAACAACAATTTTTTCTCAGCCTCAATTCTTTTGATCTTGCCAAAATACCATGGCTCAGCTTCTATGGATTTCAATTTGGCTACATAATTAGAAGGAATGTAACCTTCTTGTTTGGTGGCTTTGCTCCTGGCCAGCCACCAATCCCCTTGTGTATCATTTAGGATTTCTAAGTGTTCCCCTTTTCTGAAACTGAGGTCCTCATCGGTGCGTGCATCATAATCATACAGAGCGACGAATATTTTAGCTGATGCATTAGTTGCATTAGACGGTTCCTGGTCAGGAACCGGTGGCATTGGTCCATTCCTAACTTCGCGTATATTATCGTGGGGTGGCATGTTCTGTATAGGCACGCTGGGCACTGCAGGCGATACCGAGTCCTTGTTGTTGCCAGCATTAGATGGCGAGCCCGTCATATCCTTTTTGTTGGACGAGCCCCTCTGACAACTGAAGCAGCTGCCCATCTTGCGCAGCGCAATTTTTACTAACCCGAGTCCACCCAGTTACCACAAGAAGATACCGAACACGATCAGACGTGTATTGCGTACATTATAGTAATACACGAACGCACTGTTTCAACGACGACGATCCGAATGCGCGGAGAAATTTAGCAGCAACAACACTCAACGTCGACGCGGACCGATCACATCTAGATAAATTACTTTCGTGATCTATCGTATACACGGTTGGAATTATTTGACTTGACGAAATGCACCAGCACAATTAATAATAAATTATGTAAATCGTAAAGTGTACTCGCACTGAAAGAGTAGTGTTAAGTTAATTAAATATTCGGAGCACCCGTAATATAGGAAAAAAAACACAAAAGACAATTACTGATAAGAACTATTTGGGTATCATGGAAGAAGAAAATTGTCCAGCGGGTTTTTTTTCCTTTCCTCGTCTTTCAACGGAACGTGTACATCAACGTATTCGGAAATACAGAATAGAAATTTCATTATTTTTAAAAGTGTAACGGGCAAAATAAAATAATTAATAATATTTGTCAGAAACTAAAACCATGGGCGTCTAATAACAAAAAAAAAAAAAAAACAAAATATACAGTGAGTAACTGTTTGTGAAACCGATTTGACGAAAATAATTCGTGGTCGACGGAATAAGTTGGACCATAACGTTTAAGAAATGCCGAAATATCGTTTCATTGTTTTAGTCGAGTCTAATTCCACGATTAATTATAATAAAGAAATCGTTATAGAATGTCATCGCAGTGCCCGTTGTCGTGCATCCGCTGAATTAGGTAGCTAGAAGTTCAGTTGCCCGTTGGAATGAAGCCCGAGGGAAGGGGATCTACGCACAATCATAATACATAATATAATAACTTTGTACACATATCATATCATATAGAATATAGTGAGTTTGCTTGGTGGCAGGTAGGAATATTTGTGTATACATACGGTTTGAAGCTAACAATTATTATTCTATTTTGAAAGTCGTATACGACCTTGACGTTGTACCGAGAAATACGAATTATAGGGATAATTTAGTATATAAAGGTATATAAATACGTGTGCGATAATAAAAAAAATACGTCATCTTCTATTTGGTAAGAATTAGGTAGCTTATGTCCTTATATATTAAAGTATTGAGTAGTACCTACTTATAACAATGTAAATTTCATATTCAATAAATTCATAATAAGCTAGTATAAGATTATAAATTCTTAACCAACCGCGCTACGTATGCTATTAACCAATTATTCATCATTATTATTTATTATAATACGCCTCGAGTGATCGAAGTAAATGTCGCATGTTATGTGTAAGCATATTGATTCCCTTTTTATGGATATTATGTGTAGATACCAATTTAATATATATTTAATTATGTTTACTACAACTACGGGCTTTCTACTATTATTCAGGATATCGACGCAATTTTAAAGCGGACGTTTTTTTACATGTGATTAATATTTGAAACGAGTATAATATTATACTTATAGAACATAATAGATATATTGCATAACAAATGTAAGAACAAATTTCATTCAAACGGTACAATATAATAATATACACTACCGTTATACCGTTTTCACCGATAATAACCTTTTAATAATTTAATCACAATTAAGCATTTATTATTATTTTATCTGTAGGTTGTTGCTATAATGCTCAGCTGGAACTATATTCATCATGTTCATAGGATATTTAATTTTTTGAATTAGGTACTTTTATTATTTTAATTGATATTTTCGGATATTGAAATGTAATTCGATTTCGATCAATACTTTGAACCGAACAATTATTAATAATGTTCATTGATTAGCTCAGTGCCTATAATTCATGAACAACTATAATTTTTAATTATACTGTTGATATATATTTTTTATAAAGAAATATAAAATTTTCAAAAAGGATTCTGACATATTGTCAAGTTTAAATATTATTTGGATATCAACAAAAACGATCAATGCATACCTTCTCATTGATCGCAGATAGTGATGGGCAAAAGTAACTAATAACTACCGACTTGGTCGGTAGTATCAAATGACTAATTTAGTTACTCGAATATTTTTATTATTCGACTTATTTTTACTATTCGACTAGTTATTATTATTTTTCGACTAATTTTTATTATTCGACTAGTTATTATTATTCTTCGACTAATTTTTATTATTTGACAAGTTATTATTATTCGACTTATTTTTATTATTTGACTAATTATTATTATTCGATTTATTTTTATTATTTGACTAATTATTATATTTAACTTATATTATTATTATTTTACTTATTTTTAATTTTTATAATTTGACTTATAATTTTTATTCAACTCGTTTTTATTGGACTGATTGAAAGCTTTTAGCAGAATTATTTTATTCAACATAATAATTTAACAAAAAACTTAAAAAACTTAAACATTACTTCAGAGCAATATTAACCGAATTATCAGTTCCTAATTTTAGTCGCATAGTTAATTTCTCATTATTCTATATCAATGTTGTCACCTGGTGCTGTACTAGTCTCTTATGAGTCATCACAGCATCGTAGCAGAAATATGAACTTTTCATATAATTCTACCCAAAACAGCCCTTTTCAGGGTTACTTGAAGCGTAATGTGAAGCAATCGCTTCGAGTGCTCCAACTTAACATTGAAGGAATATCAAAAAACAAAACAGAGTTTTTTGGTAAACTAGTAGACAATCATTCCATTGACATAATTGCTCTTCAAGAAACTCATATTACAGATGATATAAATTTTGCTACTAGAGGCTACTACATTCATGGATGTAATATTGTCGCAGCATTACACGAAAAAGTACACGGATTAGCTACTTATGTCAAAAAAGAAATCACAGATTATTCCATCGAATATAGCATGAATATAAATGACATTCAGGTCATTAGCATTAAAATAGCTGATCTAACCATTATAAACCTATACAATCCTGCTGCAAAGCGGTCTTCCACCAATCTGCGTTGCGCACCACATCCAGCGATATATGTAGGAGATTTTAATAACCATCACCAGGAATGAGGCTATGAAGAAAATTACGACAAGCGATAGCGATGTTCCGACCGACCGTCCGTCACCGGCGCCACCACAATCCCACATATTACCTACCAGTTACATACTTGTATATATATATAACCGTAATTAGTAAGTTAGATAATGAGTAATAACTACAACTCTATAAATACAATTTAGTCCGAAATTCAAATAGAAAAAGTAATAACTTTATATGTTTAAATTATCACCGATAGATCCACCGTATACATTATATGACCGTACAGTATATTCACGATACCTACAAAACTATTTCCTTTCAGACACCGACACATCGACTACGTCGATTGTTTAGTTCAATTCTGGTTTTTTATATAATTTTAAATTACAGTTTTTTTTTTCTTTATATTTCTATCGAACATCTTTAATGATTTAGTTTATAAATCTACAAAAGTACTGTTGTTTTATAAATAATAGCAGTACTGTATTTTTTTTTTTTTAAAATATTTGTGTAGCATCTTTTTTAATATCTACATACTAAAAATATTGTTTTGCTATTTCAGGGGTTTAATTATTATTATTCTTCAATTTTATAATTATAATAAATAATATACTTATATACTAATTTATGTATGTAAATATAAGTATAAACAATTAGATATTTTATTTATGATGTATATAGTTAATATAAATTTTGTATCCGAATGGCGAATTGAACAATTTGTGCATCGATTCCCAATCTTTTCGATCGACGTAAATAATGTGTACGTAATAAATAATAATTATAATAATATCAATAAGAAATATGTAGTAAATTTATTAGAAAATTAAAATAGTGTTGTGTGTGGATAAGTCATTAGTGATTACTGATACTGATACGGTCAGCGGGTTGACGCAGGGGACAATAGTGTAATCGGTTATTTTGGGAATGCAGGCGGATCGCATCCGTATAAACGGACACACACATCAACATTAATTTACTTCGCACACACTCTCAACTCAAATATTCTCGGGATTGATAGGTAGCCTATACAAAACTCCTTAGAAAATGACCAACTGGAGTTGGACACCCAAGTATCCGCTTGCCTGGTTTCAATCTCCCCAGAAAACAATGGATTCTTCTTAATAGATTCCGATCTAATCATGGACGCTGTGCGCATCTTATGAGCAAATGGGGATTGGAAACATCAAGTGGCTGTCAATGTGGAGATCCCAATCAAATGATGTCTCATATTGTTGAGGAGTGCCTCTTGTTCTCCTTTGGGGGCAGATTGGATGAACTTCATAATTTGGAGGACGGAGCTATTGAAAGGTTGATTGATTTGCCATTGGACTTGTGAACCCAGAAAATGTGTATATAAAAAAAAAAATGAAGTCGCTGTGTTTACTATTTAAATATTATCTGTTATAATTTGTTCATAATATTATTAGTATTGTTATTTATTTAGTTATTACTATTACTATTATATTTATCTTGTTCTATATACTCTTTATTGTGTGATATTGTTATAAATCTGCTAATCTTGCCATACGCTAATAATATTAAATATATTTGAACAATTTTTTTTTTTGGATGCCTAACAAACATTGTCATACACATATTACACTAAACTAATTTTAGGCCATTTAATTTTGTGCATACGCATAGCAACTTTTTTTTTTAAATGACAACCCCACCTTTTTTTCTGGTAATTATTTTGACAGGTATTTTTTTTTATAAATTTTAATATTCAAACCAACTTCCTAAGTTAAAAATTAGCTGAGTTATGAATTTTTTAATGTTTGATATTATTTTTTTAAATTTTTGAATTATCCACAAATTTGTTGACTTAAATTATTTTTTTTCCTCCATAATATGATATTTCCTAGTACTACTTTTAGTATCTACTTTTGGGAGGGATAATGCTTCATCTTACCATACTTTTTTTCCCATGTAATAATTTTTCTCCCTTTTTAATTAAAAAAATACATTTTTTTTTATAATTTTAATTTTTTTAGTTGGTTCAAATTACATTAATCTATCTAGAATTATTCAAATTGTTCTCCATCATGAATTAAGCATGCTTCTGTCCTCCGTAGAAATTCCCTATTTGTTGCACTTGAAATTTGTTGTTCAGTAAGCTGATTACATGCCGCATTTATTTTATTATTTATTTTATCTTTCAAATGCATAAAACTAGTAGGTGGGTCTGCATAGACGACAGTTTTTAGATATCTCCACAAAAAGTAGTCTAGTGGTGTGAGTTCTGGGAATCGAGGTGGTCATTGTATTATCCCATAAGTTCTTATCAAACGATTTTCAAAATTTTCATTTAAATAATTCCTCACAACTGTTGCATTATGTGCTGGGGCTCC